TGTTTGCAGGAGGCAGAGAATGGAGAGAAATTTCTTTAGAAAAGTGTCCTGTCAGCCACAGATGGAGCAGAAATACTACTATGTCCGTTGTGTGTCTGAGGTGTTCTTCTCTGTTCCTTTGGACACCACCTAGAGAGATCTGGAGTGTTCTGTTTGCCCTGGAGATGTCCACTGGGGACAAACGTGGAGTCCGTTTCTTCACTTCTCACTGATTTTGGCTCTTAATAATTACCCCTTCTTCTTCTAAACCAGAGAAGACAGATTAAATTTCTAACAGTAAGGCACAAAACCAATCCATTTACAGAATTAGTCTTACATTAGCACATAGGAGTACAAATCAGCCTCCCCGGGGATGGATCTGTTTGCAATTTCTTTTAGCATTTTTGGAGGAAGTCCAGTAGACTTTGGGAAAATCTACTGTTCACTGACTTTGAATTAACAAAGTAACATGAGCCCTTTGTGGGGTTTGTGTGGGTTTTCTTTTCTTTTCTTTTCTTTTCTTTCCTTTTTTTTTTTTTTTTTTTGCTTGAGTGGGAAAGGATTGTTTTTAATCCACCTATGATTTAGGGTTGTGGTTCTCAACTTCTAGTGTGCATGAGGATCCCTGAGGAAGAGCTACTCGAGCCTCACCCCTGGAAATTTGGAGTAATAGGCAATTTGGGGCATTTTTTTTTTTAACTCCACAGATGGTCTTGATATGTAATACAGGACAAGAGTCACCATAGTGGTAAAGAATCAATATTTGAGCCATAAAGAGTTAAAAGCCCAGTTGTGTTTTATCCACATGGTGTTTTTCCTCAAATTTGAAACCATGTTAATACATCGATATATTAGTTTTCTGTAGCATTATTGGCCATTGTCATGTTGCTTGAGCTATAAAATTAATGGGAAGTGATTCTAAACATTGTAGTCCTATGGCCCTTTTTGTAATGTGACCAGTTTTCCACGTTAATATTTCCAGTGTCTTTAACGTCTTCTTTCTTGGGATATCTCTGTTTCTGAAATGTCAGCTTGTCCCTTTCCATGTTTGAAAGTTCATATAGATACAAAATTGGTTCATGTGGCCTATAACTTTTCAGATGGTTGTGTGTTTCAGAAAGGCCTAGGTGGAAATCTCCTAGCATCCTTTATATTATGAGGTATTTCTCTGCATACTGGTAGCAAATGGTGTTTTTTACTTCTGTTTCTAAACTGTGGGAAGTGCCAGATGGGAGTGCTTAAGTCCTGGTAGGTTGTGTGTAGTTAGTGGGCTAGTACCTCTGTCCAGGATGTGGCTCCACATCCTTGTCAAATCCTGGATCCCTAGAAGAGAATTGCGTTTTCAACCACAGGGTCAAACACGCTTCTAACTCTCAATCTTTGGTAAGGTGTTTCTCAAGCGATGGGTTACTAATAACAAAGCGACAGTTATGAGTGACTTATTTAACCTTGAATCTACTCTGGATTGTTTTGTCTTTTGGCTGTCATAATGTCCCTATAACTTCATTCCACTTCCTCGAGTGGAGGAAAGGGAAGTGGGTTAGCTAGGCTCCTGTCTCCACAGTTGTGCAGCAGAGCCTTTGGGAATGTGCTCAGTACAGGACTGTCCTGGATCACATCTGCTGCTTTGGGAAAACAGGTTGGATTTTTCGGGAAACAGATTCTGGGTTGGAGATCTGCGGGCAGGCAGTTGAGCAGGTTGGCCTTTCCCAGAAGTCCCGAACTGAGGCAAGGGGGCCAAGCCTTTGTCCCTAGGTATTGACTGGTCACTGGATGTGGGCTCCAGGAGGGGATGTAGCCTTGGACAAGGCAGCTTGTTTGACCAAGGGCACCGCCTAGGAAGGGACTCTGCTGTCAGGCTGAGCCAGTGAGCCATGAGCAGGAGGCATTGTGCCCATCTGGGGGAATGAGTGTTAGGGACCCACAGGTAGAGTCTGAGTGACCCCTGCAGCATCCACTACACGGACTGGTGATAAAAATATCTTGCCAAAAAGATTCCAAGTGTGCAGCCTGAAACTTCAGCCTTCGATCTCCTGACCTTGCGGGTCTCCGTAGGTCTTGAGAGGTGGACCTTCCTTTAGCACATCGGTTTCTTTCCTTCCCTGCCATTCCCCAACCAGTGGTAGCAACAGGGAGGGTTGTTCACATGAGTCTGGAATCTGATCTGTTGGGGGTTGACAGTCATTTTGGAGTTTAGACGTTGTAATTCTCGGAGCACAGTGATTTTTAAGAAGTGTGGCTTTGTAATGTTTGTGTTTACATAATTATAATTTATTGCTGTGAAGTTCAGTTCTCAAGACGCATCATCACAGGTACATTAACAGTGAGACCAGCGTGGCATCTCAGCTAATTTGTTGGCGTGAGGGACATTACACCCCTGACTGGTCATCTGCTCTCGGCGGTGGCTACACTGTTGTCTTCCACTGTGCACTAAAGCAGATCCTTCTTTGGTTATTACCGTGGTATAACCTTTTAAAATTGGTGATTCTCTTGGAAAGTTTCTCTGGAAAAAGACCTGTTGTATAGACACTCCCATCGTTCAGACTCCTGAATACTTCGTGTCCACGTGCCGTCCCCTCTCCACTATCGCCAACTGTCCTTTGCTTCTGGTAGGACAGGGGGAGACCGCTTTTCTGTGTAAACAGCACGTAGAGGAGCCCCATGGAATGTGGACCTAATCAGCCAATACTTGTTGAAGGGGAAGAAGAGAGCTGGGGTGCCACTCCAGGAAGGAAGATGGCAGTATTAATCAGGTATTGTATGCTTTGCTCTGGCACTTGGCCCGCCCACACCCTTCCTGTGTACCGTTTCGCTTTATTCTTGTAACTCTCCCAAGTAGGTACATTCTGCTTTAGAGACGAAGCCAAGGCTCGGATGCATTTAGCGTAGTCACGTGGTTACTCAACTGGCAGAACCAAGGTTATCAGATTGACCCTTGGTCCTGAACCTCCATCTCAGAGGTCACCGTGGTTGGGATCAAGGAGGAAGGCGGCAGGGCTGTGGCTCTGCTAGGGCAGAGGCGCCGTTCTCCGGGAGGAGGGAGGATTGCCATCTCAGTGAGCAGAAGAGGGGGAAGCCTCCCGCCACCAGAAGTGTGATTTTCTGTCCTAGGATAACTAAAAACAAAGGCGATTTGTCCTGCTTCATTACGGTAGTGTCACATCCAGAAAGCAGTTGATAGTCCCGAAGGGGGGACCGATGGAAGAAAGTGATGCCTGGCATCTCTAACTGTGAAAAGCTCAACAGGAGTTCACTTTGCACGAGTGCAGGCTTGTGTTGGCCTTCCTCCTTCTCGTATGAGGTTAAGGAAGGATAAGCATTTTTGCCTTGTTTCTCTACCAAGGAGGTAAAGTAGGCTCCTTCACCTTATCATGGTCCAGTAATCCAAGAGAAAGCAGAGGGAACTCCAGGGTCACAAATGACAGGCTGGCTCGTGTGTGGCTTTGCTCAGCTGGCAGTGGGTGACCCCCCCGCCCCCCACCGGGTTGTGTGAAGGAGTCTCCAGTTGTATCTGGGGCAAGTGAGAGAGAGCTGCCTCTTCTCCTCACGAATGAAGCCGACTAGCTGTAAGAGGGGACCTAGCCTGACATCAGACTAATGACTTTCCGTTATGTTTTTAGGCGGGACCCCTTCGCCTGCTGATTACACTTGCAGATTTTTTCCCGTTTTGTTTTTCCGTCTCCCCCTGTATGGCCAACATCTCTCTGCCGGTTTCACATTGTGCCCGGCCACATTCTGCCACCCCCCAGAGAACTGTCAGCTCTTGCTCTGTTCCCTCTAGAGCTCCTTTTTGGCCCTCGTACTCAGCCTTGCACTGTTGTTGCAAAGTCAACACATTTCCTTCTTAGGCCTTCACGTTATCTTTTAGCTCTGAGACTCCTAGATGAATGGAAACATGATCCAGAAAAATCTTTACCCTGGATCTTGGTCGGGTCTAAATCAGTGCTCACGTTCCCTTAAAAATGCCGAGATGACTTTCAGCTTTCAGACTGTAGCTTGCGGTATAGGACCGTTGTGTTCGGTGAATTACGAATTCGCTGGCAACCTACAAGTCACTGATGTCAGCCAGAGCTTATTAAAAATGAATTTTATTAAGTTCCATTGAGACCAACAGCCTGCTTTGCCTAGCTTTGCAGAAATATGTACAAAAGTGAACTTCAGCAGGTGGATTTGGGAACAGGCAGAGAGGAACACATACACTCTTGGCTTTCTTTGTGTTTCACCCTCCCGTTCCTTTGTGCTACCAGGATCGTCATGACAGCCTTATCTCTCAAATAAAGCCTGTTACCTCATCCCTAATTGCTTATCCAAAGGCAGGCGAGCTCTCATTTCTCCACATTAATAAATGACACCGAAGATCTGCATTGTTTGCACTGGCTCCCTCAGGTTCACCGGTGGGGGCCCCTGAGTGCATTAGGAAACCCTGTGCTTCTCCAGCGGCGGAAGGGAGGCGGTGCTCACCTCCTTCAGGAGCAGCATTTCGTTTGTGTACTTCTCGCCCCCGTTCATAGCCCTACTCCCCTGACGGAGGCCCCTTAGTGACCTACCTCGGTCAGCGCTTCTTTGGCTGCGGGTGCTCGCTGCCCTCCGGGGGGCGGGGGTGAAGTAAGAGTTGTCCTGGGGGGACCGGTGGCCCCTCCGATTTCAAAGCTCACCTTCTTGGCTACATACCGCTCAGCTTCCCTTAGAGGCCAAGAGCTTCCCGCAGCCTGTGAGCGGATGCCCGAGGCGTCCACCTCTCCCAGACCCCAGGTTGTCAGCTGGCGCCCTTGCTTCTCCTTTGTGAAGTCTTATGGGAAGTGGCCTTGCGGATTTTACAAGTGAAGAGTGAGGAGGGTGGGCTCGTGGCCATCCGGTTGTGAGTCCGTTCTGTGACTGCCCCGTGGAGTCGTGAGACTGCGTGGCCCCCCCCCCGGGACGACAGCACCTCTCTCGTTCCCACCTCACGATATCTCTTGTCATCGAAAGGAGCATTTTCATTCCTCCGAATTGTAAGCTTCTTTCCCTTTTCTTCTCCTCAGAATGAAATGGATGACGTGCCCTTCTTTGACATCCAGCTGCCTTACGAACTGGCAATCAACATATTTCAGTATCTGGACAGGAAAGACCTGGGAAGGTGTGCACAGGTAAGCAGCCACTAAACTGGTGTTCAAGGTTTACTTCCACGCGAGACAAAAGTATAGGAAGCTCCTGGGTAACAGAACGTGACTTCCCAGAACTGCAGACTTGAAAGAAGGAAGGAATCAAGTAGCCAGTCTGCTTGAAGGAAAGCAACCCTGAACCTGAGGCTTCTGCTCCACATCTCCAGTTGGTGTTTGTCTCTTTGTGACTGTCTGCTCAAGAGCTCTGTTCCCCCGCAGTCTCCGTAGGGTTGGCCTGTGGCAGTGTGCTCGTGACCGACGACTTTGTGCTCTGCTTCTCGAGCTAGCCTGAGCTGTTCATGTCCTCGCTGTTTTTAATGCAGAGATGCCGCCAGCCCTTGGTCAGATCAAGCCAGTCGTTGGGTTGGGAGCTGAGGGTCAGCCTGGGGACAAAACCGCGAAGTCGCGTTTTAGGCGTAGAGTCCAAATTGCCCTTTAAACACTAGAATCCCACTCAGTGAGGTGCGAGGCACCTGAGAACTGACACCCGCTGAGGGAATTGCAAATCGGTGTCCCCATCTCCTGCCTTCTGGGGCATACGCCCGTGGGGTGGCACGGTGGCAGATACCGTCCGGGCCACACTTCACTGTGTACGTGAATCACAGGGGATCTTGATAAGATGCAAATTCCAACTCAGGAGGTCCGGAGTGGGACTCATATTCTGCGTTCCGAACCAGGTTATGTCAGCGTGGCTTTGGCCACACTTGGAGAGGCAAAGGTTTATGCCATTAAATTGGGTCTCTTGTTCACCTCTTTTTGGCAAAGAGTATAATTTCTCCAAAGACAAATATATGATTGCTGACCATTTGGCTTTCATGGATAACTGTATTTCCCAGGAGAAAGAGTATCTGTTGTCCATAACTCCCAAAGAATTAATTTGTCTAATGGCTACCATTTCCTACCCCTGGATTCTAGACTGCATTTTACATACGTGTCTACACCTTTAAAAGAAAGAGCTAGGTAAAATGGAGTCGTACTAAAAATCCAGGGATGCCTGGCTGGCTCAGTTGGAAGAGAATGCAACTCTTGATCTCGGGGTTGTGAGTTCAAGCCCCACGTTAGGTGTAGAGATTACTGAAATAAATAAACTTTAAAAAATGTAAAAAACAAACAAACAAACAAAAAACCCCAAAGCACCAAGAACGTGGAGTTAAAAACATTACGGCAGCTTGAGAGGTATAAACTCTAGTGACCAGATTTAGACTCTGGAGGTTGCTACTCTGGCACTTCCGTGAAGTCACAGAAAATACAAGGCAATTTTAAAAGTTTCTGGCTTATGCTATTTTTTTATGAAGCAGTTTGCCTAATCAAAATTTTCTACCTAGATACGAATTTGAAAAAGTTTACAGGGTTCTTGACTGCCACACTATTACGTGGGGGTGTTCGCGACTATTTTTTTTTTTGATGCAGAGTCTGGAATCTTTAGGAATGATGGAAGGAATTATTCCAGGGCTAAAATTCACTAAATGAAAACGGACTGAAACGTAAACCATGCTCGGAGCCTATCAGTCGCATAAAGCAAGAGTACCTATATCATCATCTTCTTTCCCTTGGAAATTGGATTTGTTCTATTCTAACTTTACACTTTGGCCCTGTTCCCGAGAGTTGAAAACAAGGGTGTAGCTAAATGAGTCCAACTCCTGGATTTCAGCCTGATGCTGTTAGCCGAAGTCTTGGAACAGGGTCTAATAGCTAGCTGTTTTCCACAAAGTCCGCATTAGATGATAAAATCTTCACTCTTGATAGGGAGCTGCTGTTCAAGGAATCATTTCTTTTAACATTGCTTTTTGCTCCCCCGCTTTGTAGAGGGCCATGTGGCTTTCACGTCTGCTGCTGGTTTTCTCATCCAAAGAGTTTATCGGTGAAAGATAGGATCTGGTGGAAGAAGAGATCCCCCTTTTGGTACAAGGGGGCTGCGTTTCAGGAGAGATTCGTTATGCTGGTGAGATTATTGTGCAGGTGTGAACGGTTTCATTTGCAACACAGTGGTCCAATTGTCCACCAGAATTCTTCTCTCTTTGGCCAGTTGGATTTGTTTTTTGTTTTTCCTTTCAATCTAATTTTTAGAGCACAAGTATATGAATAGAAAAGATTCTTAAGCAGAACCCTTCCGGTGGCTCTGGTCTATGAAGCCAATAATTTTTTTTTTTTTTTTTTTTTTTTTTTAATAGTGCCTTTTCATGAAGGTGACCATGGGCGGCCAGTGATCTTTAGAATTGGCTTTGTTTTTTCGAGCATTAAAATACAACTGCAAAGTAATAAAGATGAGTAGCATTTTCATTTGTTTCTTGGGGCGTTTTTATTTTTGAAACTGGGAAAAAGTCCTTCTGTTGAGTGGAATGTCCTGCTGCTTTATGATTTGATTTTAGAGGGGGCTTGCTCTGTCTGTCCCTGTCTGTCTCTTTTCTCTTTTAATCGAGCCACCTTGGGATTTTAGTGAAATTGGGCCAGTTCTAGTGGAATTGGCACTGTGAACTATTTGTGTGCCCTTGGAGAAAACCTGTTTGCTTAGATCTGTATGCCAAATTGGTAACTGACTAACAGTAAGGAACCCAGATCGGGAAGGACTTGTTGAGATTTAATTATGCCACGAACTGTGCTGGAGAAGTGATTTTGCTTTGACTTTGTCTCCTTTCTGCATCCCCTCTTTTTCTGCTTTGTAGGCTTTGTGCTTCCAGAAAGAAAGTCCTGTGATCCTTGTATACCTTTGCTGCTGACCTTTCTAGCTCCTTGCTATCCATAGTTGTCCCTCGAGGGATTTAGTGTCCTTGTGGGAGTGTTCCATGCCGAAATGTCTTGAGAACAGTGTGACTTGTAGTAAACAAAGTTATGCACTGGGCGATTCATTGGACGGCTTTATCGTTTTGCTACTTATAATTTTATGGTTTTGTATGTGGGTGTGTGTGCATGCCCACAAGATCCCTGGCACTTTAAAAGATAATATTTTTAAATGGATAACAATTACAAAACTGAGTTCAAAGTTACAGAAAGTTTTTTTTTTTTTTATGGGAAGAGTAAGTCTGCTATTATATTACAATATGAATAATTCTGAGGAGTAACAGTTTTAGGATTTACTGACTTTCATTTTTAAAACTTTAAAAATAATCATAAATTCATGGGTAGTTGCAAAAGATAGTACGGAGAGGTCTTGTGTTCTCTTCCCCAGTTTCCTTTGTTGGCAATATCTTGCGTAACGACCTAGTCCTATCAAAGCCAGGAAACTGACCTCAGTACAGTCCACGGAGCTTACTCAGATTTCCACAGTTTTACGTACACTTGTGAGTGAATTTAGTTCTGTGCAGTTTTATCACAGGTGTGGTGGATTTGTGTGACCACACAGTAAAGGTATACAACATTCATCACAAGGATCTTTTGTGCTACCTTTTCTGGCCTGGCCACCCCTGCCACTCCCCATCCCTAACCCCTGGCAACCCTGATCTGTTTTCATCTCTATAATTTGGTCTTTTTTTTTAATTTTCATTTGTATCACATTTTATTTATGTATATTTGCTAAAGTAAAATTTTAGAAATCTAGCTGCATAGGTAACAATGTCACATTCTTCAAGTGAGACGTAGAAAAACGTGCATGAAGAGAACAGTAAAGGAACAAGGGAAGAGACGGAGGTTAACAGCTTAAGATGTATGATAAAATTGGTAAGCAAGAAGCAGGTGATACCAAAATAGATAAATTGGGAACTAAAGCCCACCACACTAGATAGATCACGATGTTTGAAGTTGTTAAGTAGGTTCTACACTCGAGACGGGGCTTGAACTCACAACCTTGAAATCAGGAGTAGCACACTCTACTGACTGAGCCGGCCAGGCACCCCCGATATTTCAGGCTTTAAGGAAAATGTGATCTCGTGATCTTCCCAGATATCCAAACAGAAGCACCTAAAATCTGGGGTTTTATGGCTAAAGATCTTCATGGAGTCTTTCAAGCTGGGAGTCCACAGCCAAGCGCTGCTAGACTGATTTTTCTTAGCAGAAATGATTCTGAAAACCGGTAACTGCTGGCAGGGTTCCTTTCGTCCTTAATAGTGGCCTTTGCCACTTGACTCCATCTCCCAGGGACACATGCCCCGGGCCCAGGCCCCCTCAGGGGTTTCCTTTTAATTCGCAGAGTTACCGTGGCTGCCTCCTTTAGCGGGGGTGACTGAAACACAGCAACTCTGGGAGAAGATGGGGAGCCGGCTGCAGGAAGAAGGGCAGGGTCTTGATAATTACTTGAACTGAGTCCTGGGGACTGAGTCCTGAGGCGCTTTCCACTGCTCACTTTATTTTGTGTGTGTTTGAAATTGTCCCTAATTGAAAAGTTTAAAAGAAGGGGGAAAAAAACCCAGAAAGCGAGAACTGGCATTTATAAGAAAGTCAGAGCCTCTTGAGGACAGTACATGCCAGAAGCTGGCCATTGAAAAGAAAAGCAATGCAGTTGTTTTTTTAAGTGTTGAATTTTTAAAAGTCGGACTTGTTTCTCCGTCTCTTTCAGTTATTTACCCCTTTAGTAAGCGCCCAGTTAAGCAACGTGTGTTCCAGATGGTGATGTGTGCTATGGAGAAACCTGTGCCCCCAGAGGTGGGGGCTGCCCTTGTAAGCAGCCAGGGAAGACTTCACAGGGAAGGTGACCTTTGGGCAAAGACCTGAACGAGGGAAGAAAGAAGCTGTGCAGGTCTCTGGCGGAGGCCCGTAGCAGGTGCAGAGGCCTTGAGGTGGCGCGCACCTGTTAGGGTAGAGGAACAGCAGGAAGGTCAGAGCCAGGAGGAGGTGGTAGAATAATGCCCCTTCCCCGAGATGTCCCCTTCCTAATCCTCAGAACCTATGAATATGTTACCTCGTCTGGTAACGGGCCTTTGCAGATGTGAGGAGGTTAAGGATCTTGGGATGGGATGGTTATCTTGGATGATCCAGGTGGGCTCCCTCCAGGAGGAAGGCTGGAGGTCAGAGAGAAGAGAAAATGGTGCGTTGTTGGCTGTGAAAATGGAGGA